TTCCATTAGCCCTGCTTTATTGAGTGAAAAGGTAGGGAAGGAAAGGTGTGTTTGTGTGTGCATGCGTGCACATGTGTATGGCATTGGGTAAAGGAGAAATTTACTTTCTTTAAGGAAATTGGGACCAGTAGCCCAGAGGACTATTCTGAGAAATTTGTGAGAAACTGTAACCTTTGGCATTTACCCATTTTGTTATTTACTGTTATTGCCTGTTTGTTTTGTTTTCCTAGCATTAGTTTGGAGCAAATATATTCCAAATTCAGAGTACCTGAAGATTGATTTTAGGAGTAGTCCTGTGGGAGAAGGAATCCCAAGGCCTAGAGTGGGTAGGGATGGGAGTTCCCAAAGGGAAGGGTAGGACAACACTGGTCTGGCTGGGCCTCAGGGAAGGCATTGGCATGAACAAACCAAAGAGCCCGTGCGGATGTCCTCTTGTGGCCGTGCATGACGTTAGGAAAATGGGCGTAAAGGTTGGCTTTGGTGGCAACTTGGACATACAAGCAGTTGCTGCTTGGCATTCTAAACTAAGTATCATTCACCCTTTCTTTAAAGCCCACGACAAGTTCTGGACACCAGTATACTTTAGGTTGCTGTAGAAACCCACATGTTCTGCTTTAATAACTTTCAGTATTTTACACTTCTAGAATGGCTTGCCCACCCTGCCTTTTGCCCTAATGAATTGGGCTCTTTAAGTAAAAACCCGCAAAAAGACATGAGGTGATATGTCAGTAAGAAATTCTGAGCTGGGATACTTTGTTTCTTGAGATAAGTTTTCCTGAGTGAAGATCCTCAAAGATGTTCTGCACATTCATGTTTTTAAAACATGAACAGTATTTTTTGACTTCTATATTTTTAAATTGAATGAATAAAATAACTATTGATATAAAATGTCCCATTTAAGCAAAACAATGTGAAAGACCCTACACATTTTTTTCAGTGAGGAATTGGAACTTAGAAGAGATGAGATCTTAGAGGAGATCTCATCCTCTGCTCTCTCTCTCTCCTCTTCTAAAACAAACAAACAAAATATGTCTTCTAGAGTTACATTTGTGATTATTACTCTTGCTTTCAAAAGCAAACCCATAAAGAAGAAAAGTGAGTCTACATGGTCTGCAGGGTACGTTACACAGAATGTCAGGGAAGTAATATTAGAGAGGACCTAAAAAGAAGCAAGACGGTAAGTTATGGGAAGATCTGGGAACCAATTCTAGGCACAGGGAACAGCAAGTGCTAAAATCCTAAGAGAATGAGCAGGGGATTTTTAGAGAACACAGAAGGCTTCTGTGTCTATGGCACAATGAAAGAGAGTGGTAGGAAATGAAGTTGGAGAGAGAGAGTGAGGTTGACCAGATAATATAGGGCCTTGCAGGCCAAGCCAGGAAATTTTAGTTTTGATCTGAATAGCATGGAGAGCCATTGGAATGTTTTGAGTATGAAAGTGACACTATCTGCTTCTCTTTCTCTCCCTTACTAAAAATCATTTAGAATTTTTAAATATTTTCCTGAACATAGCAAATATCTTAGAACACATTATTTACCATTGAACTCCAGTCCACATCACTCTTATTTTAGATTCTTTTTTTTTGGATTACATATTTTATTTTTTTGTTAGCTTATTTTACTTAAATTCAATTAGTTAACAATAGTGTATCATTAGTTTCAGATTTAGAGTTCAGTTATTCTCTTATTTTAAATTCTTAAATACTTATGAAGTAACTTCTATATAATTGAGGTTCATACAATGAGCTTTACTTTGCAATTAGCTAATTAGCAATATGATTTGGGGTAAGTAGTCTTATAGTCTTTAAAAAAAATCCACATATTTAAAGTACATAGTCTGATAAACTATGACATATGTATTCACCCATAAACCCATTACAAAAATCAAGATAATGGGCATCTGGGTGGCTCAGTTGGTTAAGTGACTGCCTTCGGCTCAGGTCATGATCCTGGAGGACCAGGATCGAGTCCTGCATCAGGCTTCCTGCTCAGCAGGAAGTCTGCTTCTCCCTCTGACCCTCCCCTTCTTGAGCTCTCTCCCTCAAATAAAATCTTAAAAAAAAATCAAGATAATGGACATATCCATCATTCCCAAAGTTTACTCATGCTCTTTTTTAATGTCATATCTCTGCCCCTCACTCGGACCCAGGCAACCACTATTATCTGTTACTATAGTTTGTATTTTCTAGAATTTTATATAAATAGAATCATTTATATAACTAGTACATTCTATTTTTGTCTGGCTTCTTTGATTCAGCATAATTATTTTGAGATCTATCCATATCGTTTTATGTATCAATGGTTCATTCCTTTTTATTGCTGAGTAGTATTTCATTGTATGGATAAAACAAAATTTGTTTATCCATTTATCTGTTGATGGATATTTGGGTTGTTTTCGGTTTTTGATGGTTACACAAAAAGCTGCCATGAGAATGTATGTACAAATCCTTTTAAGGGTACATGCCTCGGTTCTCTTGGGTAAACACCTAGGTGTAGAATGGTTGGAACATATGGTTGGTGTATGTCTAACTTTCTAAGAGCCTGCCAAACTGTTTCAAAAGTTGTTATACCATTTTCCAGCCACATCAGTTGCTCCATATCCTCACTAACACTTGTTATGATCAGTCTTTTAATTTTTTATTAATACAATAAATGTATAGTGATCTCTAATGGTAGTTTTGACTTGCATTTCCCTAAGGACTTATGCTGCTGAAGCATCTATTGGAATCTTAATGCCCAGCGTGATGGTGTTAAAAGGTACGGCCTTTGGGAGGTGATTAGGTCACCCTCATGAATGGGATTAGTGCTCTTATATAAGAGATCCCACAGAGCTCCCTAGCCCCTTCCAGCAAGTGAGAACACAGCAAGAAGTCAGCAGTCTACAACCTCAAAGAGGACCCTAACCCTACTATATGCTGGCACCTTGATCTCAGAATTCCCCAATTCCAGAACTGTGAGAAAAAAACATTCTGTTGTTTATAAGCTGCCTAGTCTGTGGTATTTGGTTTTAACAGCCCAAATGGATTATGACAGTGACTATCCACAAGCCAAGAAAAGAGGCCTTAGGAAAAATCCAGAACTGCAGACACACTTCTGACCTCCAGAACTGTGAAAAAAAAAATTCTGTTTAAGCAATCCAGTCTGCACTATTTTATTATGGCTACCTAGCAGACAACACAGCCTCCCACAAGGAAATTAGGGTGTGCCTATGGCTGCCCCTGCATTTGTAACAGGAATATAAGCAGGCAACTCCTCTTTACGGCTACTGACATACATGGAAACCAGAGACATCCTCCTCCTTCCCTTGGTTAGCATGTCTATTCCCTAAGAATCTTAAAGGAGCCAGGCTTATTTAAGGGAGAGGTGGCCTATCTCTAGAAGGGACCGGGGTTCCAGGCTGTGAACAAGTATCACTGGTTTCTCCAAAATAGACATTTTCAATGTAGGTGAAATTACAATAAAATTATAAGTTTAGTCTTGAAATTTTAATTTAGTACTGGAATTGTAATTTTCAGTCCTGAGGGAAGAAATAAAAAAAGGACACATATGGCATATATTTGTGGAGAAAGGGGTGTTCGTGAGTGTTGTGTTTGAATGAGTTAGTTGTTAAGCAGTTGTTAGGCTCTTTGTTTTCTATATGAGTTTTCAACCCTATTGCTGACATCCTTGTCCAGTTCTTGGCCTCACTTAGTTTGGTGAATAGTTGTATCCCTAAAAGTCCCTATTGGTTGGGTTAGGTGAGGGACAGTAGGATACTACTAAGGGGTACTTTATTCATCTAGATTGCAAAGGAAACGGAGGTAGGTTTAACTTCAAACCAATTTCACCTAATTTATAAATTCTTCTAAGAAAGGATTCATGAGGGTGAGAACTAGAAACCGACCAAAGGAAAATTTGCTCTTTCCGGGCACCTGAGTGGTTCAGACCGTTAAGCGTCTGCCTTCGGCTGAGGTCATGATCCCAGAGTCCTGGGATCAAGCTCCACGTAGGGCTCCCTGCTCAGCGGGAAGCCTGCTTCTCCCTCTTCCTCTGCTGCTGCTCCCCTTGCTTGTGCTCTCTGTCAAATAAATAAACAAAATCTTAAAAAAAAAATTTGCTCTTTTTAGTTTTGTCCCCACACAAGTAAGGCGACACCGAAAGTAAGAGAAATCCCACAAGTCATACTTACTTATGTTATTTTCTGGATAAATTGTAAAGAGTAGCTCTAATGCTCATGTGGATTTGTTTTGTTTCGTTTTGTTTTTAAATTGGGATTGTAACCATGAGCTCCACCTGTATCCACCAGGATACAGATTAGTCTTAGGAACACTGGACTGAGAGCTAGTGGATTTCACCCCTAGTCATTACATCCTCTGGGACTCAAACTAATTTTTTTGTCAAATACCTGGAGTTCACTAGGTTATGTCCACGGTTCTTCAGCATTATTTATATATATAAAATTTCCTTCCTTCCTTCTTTCCTTCCATCCTACTTTCCTTCCTTCCTTTTTGCTAAGCATATTCTAGGTGTTATTTCCAATGAAATCATTCTAGAATTTCCAGTATTTTGGAACAACTCTTCAGTGTGTTCAGCCCGGTATTGAGCCGCGTGCGCTGCACTTCAGCTTTCGCAGCCCTATCCTCCCGAAGCTCAGAGGCTATCGGGAAGACATAAGGGATGCCCCTGAAGTAAGTACAAAATGGTACAAGATAGCAGATAATCAAATGTTGAGACGTATTCAAGGGCCTAAACATCTCGTCTAGCCCAAAGCAGTAACGTGAAATGACGAAAAAAAAACACACAGCGGTCTTTGCGCAGATCAACCGCGGAGCGCGGAGGTGTGGCCAGCGCCGGTCGGCCGGGTCCAAGGCCCCCAAACAAGAGGCCCGCGGGGCGCAGGCGCACCGGGCGGAGGTGAGAGCTCCCCGGACCCCAGCCTCGACCCGTAACAGCCTCTTTAAGAAGGCGAGCCGCAGGCGGCCCGGGTGACGCTCACGTGACTCGGCTCTGTGCAACTGCTGGCGGAAGTGGTCCAGCCTCTGCGACCGGAGCGGGGTCTCTGGGCGCCCCGCGGGGCGTGCAGGCCTGAGCGGGCACCGCCGGGCTGCCCCGGAGCCGGTGGTCAGGATGGTGCAGCTATACAACCTGCACCCGTTCGGGTCGCAGCAGGTGGTGCCCTGCAAGTTGGAGCCCGAGCGGTTCTGCGGCGGAGGACGCGACGCTCTCTTCGTGGCGGCAGGCTGCAAGGTGGAGGCATTCGCCGTGACCGGACAGGAGCTGTGCCAGCCGAGGTGCGCCTTCTCCACGCTAGGCAGGGTGCTGTGCCTGGCCTACAGCGAGGCGGGTGAGTAGCAGCGAGGCCAGGGGGAGCCCGGATCCCGGCTTGGGGCCTCCTTGCTAGAGGACTGAACGTCCCCGGCGGCACTCTGGGTGGGGAAGAGACTTCCCGGAATTTGCTGGGGTCTCGCGGGGTCTGGCTGCTGATTACTGAAGGAGAGCAGAGCTGTGCGGTTGTCGTGGCAACCGCAGGTGAGCGCTTGCTTCAAGGGGGCGGGGGACGCTGTCTGCTCTTTCTTATCTCGTTCGCTCACCAGAAAGGCCTGTGGTTGGGTGGCTGGGTTCCACTCAGCCCAGACACTTAAAAACAAAAAATACAACTACAAAAAACCCAAACTCAGAAGTATAGAAAATCTCAAACACATACAAAAGCAGGGAGAATAGTATCCTGAACCCCAGGTACTCCCAGCTTCAACAATCATGCCAACTCATGGCCAGTCCTTTTACATCTGTACCTTTATCCACTTGTCGGTTTTTGAAAGCTCACATTATATGCTGGTTTTTAAATCTGTGCAAGTGGAACTCAAGTCATAAACTCGTCCCTCCCACCCAAAACAGCACAGCAGCATCCACTACCCTTTTTCCTACAAAATGTGAAGCAGTACCAAGGAGGTACTATGTGGGTATATCTCTATTTTAGAAAAACCCAACATTTAAAAATAGGTGGTACTTAAGATTACAGAAAGATTTGCCATAGGCTTCTTTTAACTGCTTACTAATGCACTTAAAGTTTGATTCCTGCTTCTCAAGAGGGATGTAAAGGTATAAATTGCAATATTTATGGTAGAAAAGCCCATGGCTCAGGGGCTTACTAATGAAGTAGAGAGCCTGAACTTGGAGGATTGGGGATCTCTTTCTGCTACTGGTTGGGTGTGAGTTTATAGAAACTTTTGGATCTCAGGCTCTCTCTCTCTCTCTTTTTTTTTTAAGTTGAAATTACTAGATCAGTGATTTCCAGGCATTGGGATTTTGTGGGTCCATGATGGGGCTATCATCATACTTAGTATCTGACTATTCATTTTGTCCAGTAAAAATATATATTTTTAAAAATGAAAAGCCCTACTATTTACTGTAACCATAAGAGAAAAAAGCACTTAGCCCTAAACATTGGATATCTTTGCTTTATGAGCAACTTACTATGCTGTTATTTTTTCTTTTTGACTAGTGAAGACATCAACAGAAGCTTGCATTGGTTCACAGATAATGTTTGAAAACCACTCATTGGATCTATGTGTTCTCTTTCAGCAGAAGATTCTGATTTTGGAATTTAGTAGAAATATTTCTCAATCATTTTTCAATATTGGTGGTTTTCCCCATCCCACCCCCCTTTTAAACATGGAAATTCTTACTTTCAAGAGCTCTACTGAGTGGCAAACTCACCAGTCTCAAGTGTGTGTGTGTGTATGTGTGTGTGTGTGTGAGAGAGAGAGAGAGAGAGAGAGAGAGAGAGGCAGAGACAGACATATTTACGTGATCTGCCCCCATTCTTCCAAATGGACATTTATTCTAGAATTGAAAGTGGCAGGCATCATGTAAACCTCTAGTTTTCTTCCCTGTCAGTAGTGGTGATTCTTGAGATCTTTGATGTCACTACTTGTGCTTCAGAATCACCTGGGGGAGCTTGAAAATATGCTGATGCCTGGACCACAACCTCAGAGAAACTGTCAGTTTCCTCGGCTATGCCCCAGCATTGGGGTGAGTCTGATATTTACCCAAGATTCAGAATCACTGTCCTAGGGCCATATTGGCTGCTGTAGGCATTGAGTAGCATGGTAACCTTATTAATGAGGCCTTGAAAAACAAAGACTTTTTATAATCCAGTTTTATAATCCAGCGTTCCTAAAGAAAGTTCAGGAGTCATGTGCTATGGCATTAGCCTGGGTCAGATAGCTCAAGGGTAACTTTCAGTCCTCAGCTTAAAGACTGGGTACAGTCCCTGGGTATAGCTTCTATTAACCCACAGACAGCTGACTGCTAGCTATGCTGATATCCAGATAACTTCTCTTCCATTTCACTGCTTTTTCCTTTTGGTCTCTTTCCTCCCATTCACAGTAATTTAGAAATGGGGATTCCTGCTCTAAGTGCCTACTGTCTTTCTCTGTAGCAAATCTCCTCCTGTCAGAAACAAAATGAATCTTGTATCAGCCATTTCTATTTATTATAAGTGCTTTGCAGGTCTCTTACCCAAGTAGAAAACATTTCCTTTTCTTCTTTTTTTTAAAAGATTTTATTTATTTATTTGAGAGAGAGAGATTGAGAGAACAAGTGGGAGGAGGGCCAGAGGGAGAAGCAGACTCCCCGCTGAGCAGGGACCCCGATGCAGGACTTGATCCCAGGACCGTAGGATCATGACTTGAGCTGAAGGCAGACGCTTAACCGACTGAGCCACCCAGATGCCCAACATTTTCATTTTTTTAATCTCTAGTTAGCAGGATGCTCTTCTCCCTTTATAAAATTTGGGGGTGTTAGGGAGAAAGTAGGTAGAAATTTTGAAGGACAGAGGGCCCTAACATCATCATAGGTAATGGAAATTTAATTTAGGCTTTGTGTGTGAAGTGAGGAAAAGGAGACATGAGAATTTATTGCTCTCAATGGAGAAAGACCTGGTGGCCAGGGTTGAGTGCTGTGTGGGGAGCTCTGGTGCAGGACATTTGTTTATGGGGTGTCTGGAGGTAGTGGGGCAGGGAGGACAAGACCACATGGCTCTCATTGCTTGTTCTTTAGCACAGGTGTATTAAATGAGTCTGTCTATTACATACCCCCCAAACCTTACCGTCTCTTCAATTTCCAGAGCCATAAGACATATTTTGATGCATTGTATATTATTTCGGCCTTCTGATGTCAATTTTGTCATAGGAGCAGCCTTTTCCTTAATCATGTATTAGTATTAACCAGGTTTATGATCTTCCTATATAAAAGGAAGTTTATTATTTTAAAAAATCAATAATCTGAGTTTAAGAATAAATATGAGAATGATTTTTTAATTTACTTAATGAAGACAGAAGTTGTTGTAAAGTAAGTAGAGTAAAGCTCTGACCATATACATAATGCCTAATAAAGTTTATAAGTCAGTCAGAGGAAGACAAATACCATATGATTTTTTATATGTAAAATCTAAAAAAAAACCAAAAAACCCAAAACTAATTGGTTCTGGGGTGGGGGCAGTGGGAAAAATAGGTGAACTGTTTTTTGTTGTTGTTTGTTTGTTTAAATAAATTAAATTTTTTAAAAAGTTTAGTTACTTTCTTTCATAAAGAGCTATTAACCTCCACAGAATCCTCCAGACTTTTATCTCCTTTTTAATATTCTGAGAAATAGCATAATTGGGGAATGAGCATCGACTTTTGAGCTAACCAGATCCAGGTTTAGGTCCCAGCTCTAGCTTGTTGGCTCTGTTGCCTTAGGCAAGTACCTAGCTTATCTGAGCCTCAGTTTCCTGATCTATAAAATGGAGAATGAGATAATATCTTAAAGGTTTGTTGTGAGGATTAACTGAGAGAACTCTAAATCTCTGATCATAATGCTTGTCAGATAAACACTTACTTAGCAAGTTCTAGTTCATCATTATAAAACTAATCTGAAAACATACAAGATAGTATGGGTACTATATACAGTTTGCAGATTATGTATAAATGATAAATAGACTTTATCAGTGAAATAGGTATATGTTTTTTAAAATTTTTTATTGTTATGTTAATCACCATACATTACATCATTAGTTTTTGATGTAGTGTTTCATGATTCCTTGTTTGTGCATAACACCCAGTGCTCCATGCAGAATGTGCCCTCTTTAATACCCATCACCAGGCTAACCCATCCTCCCACCCCCCTCCCCTCTAGAACCCTCAGTTTGTTTTTCAGAGCCCATCGTCTCTCATGGTTCGTGTCCCCCTCCGATTTCCCCCCTTTCATTCTTCCCCTCCTGCTATCTTCTTCCTTTTTTTTTCTTAACATATATTGCATTATTTGTTTCAGAGGTACAGATCTTTGATTCAACTGTCTAATCTCAGGAAATAAACTGAGGGTTGCTGGAGTGGGGGTGGGTGGGAGGGATGGGGTGGCTGGGTGATGCACATTGGGGAGGGTATGTGCTATGGTGAGCACTGTGAAATAGGTATATGTTTATAAATGTCTGAATAAAACAATTTTATTTAACCAGACAAATATTCTTAGTTTTAAAATTCATTTACTAATTTGAATATGGCACCAAAGCACGGGCAACAAAAGAGTAAGGTAAATTGGATGTCATCAAAATTAAAAACCTTCATGCATCTGTAAAAGACACTAACAACAGATTGAAAAGGCAATCCACAGAATGGGAGAAAATACTTGCAAAGCATATATCCAATAAGGGATTAATATCCAGAATATATAGAGAACTCCTATAACTTAACAACAACAAAAGCCACTTCAAAAATGGGCAAATAGGCATTTCTTCAAATGGCCAACAAGCAAATGAAAAGATGCTTAACATCATTAATGACCAGGGAAATGCAAACCAAACCTGAGATCCCATTTCATACTCATTAGGATGGCTATTATTTAAAGAAGAAAGAAAATAGCAAATGTTGGTGAGAATGTGGAGAAATTGAAATCCCTGCACACTGCAGGAATGGAAAATGATAGAGCTGCTGTGGAAAACAGTATGGTGTTCCTCAAAAAATTAATTACCATATGATCCAGCAGTTTCACTCTTGGAAGTACATAAACAAAGTACTTGAAAGCAGGGACTTTTGCAGATATTTGTACATCAATGTTCATAGCATTTTTAAATGAGAGCCAAGAAGTGGAAGCACCCCAAATGTCCATCAACTGAAGAAAAGATAAACAAAATGTGGCATATGCATATCTGTACCTGCATGTTCATTGCAGAATTATTTATAATAGCCAAGACATGGAAACAACCTAAGTGTCCTTAAACAGATGAATAAATAAAATGTGGTATTTACATAAAATTGAATATTATTCAGTCTTAAAAAGGAAGAGAATTCTGACACACATTACAACACAAATGAACCTTGAAGACATTGTGCTAAGTGAAATAAAGCAGACACAAAAGGACAAATATTGTATGATTCAGTTTACATGGGGTATCTAGAGTGGGCAAATTCATAGAGACAGAAAGAAAGTAGAATGGTCATTGCCAGAGTCTGGGGGTGGGGGAGATGAGGAGTTATTGTTTAAGGGTTTTGAGGAAGATGAACAAGTTCTAGAGAGGGATGATGGTGATTGGGGCACAACAATGTGAATATACTTCATACCATTGAACTGTGTACTCAAAAATGGTGAAAGTGGTAAATTTTACGTTATGTATATTTTACCATAATAAAAATTTGAAAAAAAATAATTTACTGAGGAAATTCTAGGAAGATGGAGGCTACAAGGCATCTTTTGATGCAACTCCATCCAAACTGCTTCTCTGGAACAGAGTGAGCACATTTATGGAGCATGTAGGGTATGGTTAGGCATTCTGTGAAGATACCCAGGGAATGAACAGGTGCAAGCTCCGTTTCTGTGGTATCAAAGGGACCAGCATCAAGAGAAGACTTGCGTTTCTGGAAGGTTGGCTCATTTCGGACACGGAGGGAACCCGGCCAGCCCAGCGAGTGTTTGCTGAAAGGGGCTGCTTGCTTGCTGCTTTTGTATATGGGAAGTCATTATGCTAACAGGGGCGTTTCAGTTTCAGTTCGTTGGAAAAGGGCTTATTTGGCAAATAATGTTAGTAAATAGTCAGTTCCACATTTGGAAAAACCTTGACTTATCTTCCCCTCAAAGTTCTAAAGATTAAAAATTTAAATTAAAAAAGCTACTAAAATAGAATATGTAACAGTATAGTTATGTAATTTGGAGGGCATAGGAGACTGTCTAAGCAAATTAGGAAATTAGGCCAAGAAGGAAATGATATATATCTGACTACATACATATCTGATGACTTTTACTATGGTAAAAGATGCCATAAGTGAAATCAGACGTCAAAGAATAGACTACCAAAAACAATTTGCTATTCATGACCAACCAAAGATTAATATCACTTTTATCCAGAGAGCGGCTATTTCTTAGAAAAACAAATCAAACATCCTAATAAAGTAGATAACTTGCAGAAGAGAAATCATACATGGCTGATAAACATAGCAGAAGATGGCCAGCTTTAGAAATGGTCTGGAAAATATACATTATAATAAGCATAAGAGTCCTGGTTTCCCCGTCACACTGAGTCAGTGCTAGTGAGGATATGGGGAAACGGGCATGTTCAAACAGTACTGCTGGCAACACAAGTTCCTATTATGTAATTGTGATAGAATCTGGCAATATCTTAAGATTTAAAACGTACCTGCCCTTTGGCCCAACATTCTCACTTTTGGGAATCTATGCCATTGAAACAAACCCCTAGGAAATAAATATATAGGTATAGGCCTATTTGTTACAGTATGAAGTATAGTGGCAGAAAAACTTGAATATATATCAATAGGGGAATTGTTGAATGAATTATGGCACATGTATACATAGGATATGCAGGTAATTTTCAATAAAACGATCTTAGATACCCATGTATTGACGTGGCGAGTTAAGATTTACTGGTAATTTTTAGAAGTTGTAGATTGTTAAGTATATTCAGGGAGATTCCATTTTGGTGAAGAAAAAAAAAGACAAAACACTAGTCTATGGTCTATGTTTATATGAGAGAAAAGTATAGAAGGACACGTACCAAGCTATGTGTGTTACCACTGGCTCGGACTGCAGGGAAGAGATTATGCTTTCCATTTGCCATCTCTTTATACTGCTTTGACTTCTCACAACAGAGAGTAACTATAAAATTACTTTGTAATTTAAACAATATAATAAAATCAACAAGTGAGGGAAAATTAACTTGGATTTAAGTTTTGTTTAATATGTATAGCTTTATCCTACTTCTCAGAGTTGACATGAAGGTGTGACTTGTGGGAAGGGGGATTTCAGAGCTATAGGAAACACTCAGAGCTAATATAAGGAATAAAATGTACAATTTCTGTGTAAGCTGCATGAATAATTAATGGATTATCTTAAGACATAATGGTGAGAGATTTATTTCGGAACCTAAATGCGTAATGTCACTTAAAAATACACCTAAGATCCTATTAATTAGGGTTTTGTTCTCGTCAATCTTTAATTCAACCATTCACATTAGGATTCATTAATAGTTCCTTTTCATGGCACAAAGTAAGTGGTTGTTTCTAATTACAAATTCTAAGTATAATCTTATTTCCTTCTCAGGAGACTATTTGGCAGCAATTGAAGAGAAAAACAAAGCTACGTTTCTACGTGCATATGTGAACTGGAGAAGTAAAAGGAGTGAAAACTGTCGCGTGTGTATCCGAATGGTTGGACATAATGTGGAGGCACCCTTCAGCGACACCTACAAAGACCAGATGTCTATTATTGAAATGCCGCTTTCTGAGGCCCCCTTGTGCATCTCCTGTTGCCCAGTAAAAGGAGACCTTCTTGTTGGTTGCACCAATAAGTTAGTCTTGTTTAGTTTGAAGTATCAGGTCATTAATGAAGAATTCTCAATATTGGACTTTGAACGTTCTTTAATTATACACATAGATAATATCATTCCTGTTGAAATTTCTTTTTGCATTGGTTATGTTGCTCTCATGTCAGACTTAGAAGTCTTAATCCTAAAAATGGAGTCAGACCCTAAAAATGGAGAGAGTGTCAACCACCAGCCACATAAGACCGACAATCCAATGAAACAGACAGAAGGTAAATAATGAATTGAGCTTGCTTTCTTATCTTAGGTGTAGAGAAAACCCTTACTTCTGGCAATCTCTGAAGGGTGCTAATATATAGTAATCACCAAGCCACATTGTTTATAGATTCAGTTATACCTGATACATGGGATTTGGGTTTATGATCTGGCTGCCCATATCTTACTCTGTAACATGTCAGTGTGTTTCAGCATATACTTGTCAATAGAAATATGGAAGAGCTAGGAGGAGTTTCTAGCCCCAGTTCTCATAAGTTGAATGGCCTTGGGTTAGGAATACCATCTCTGAATTTCAATTTCCTCATGTGTAAAATTGGGATGATAATATCCTGTTGTACTTTATCAGTGGTGAGGAATAAATGAGGAAGTGCTAAGGCTTTTCAAAACCATAGTGCCTTGCAAATATGTGAGATGTCTGTGTGTATGAATAAATAAAATTACTATATGTCTATTTAATTGGTCTGGGGATGTTGTGAAATTTAATTTTCATTCAAGTAGTACTTGGAGTTATTAAACTCTTTTCTCAAATTTTATTTTTTAAGATGTCAGTCATGAATCTTTGCAGCTTGAGTCAGATGACTTTGTTATCTGTCAAAAGCCCATGGAACTTCTCGGTGAAAAAAGTAGCCAATCTGGAGTATCCGTTACACTGGAGTCAACGGGATTAGCTGATGAAAAAACAAAATATTACCACGTTCAGCACCTGCTCTATAAGTATTACAAAGCTTTTCATTCACCAGCATTTAATATATATTTACCCGCTTAGAAGTACATGGAAATTAGATCTCTTCCTCTTTCTCTTTTTAAACTTGCAGACGTTTTGCTCCTGATATTTCGTTCTGTGTCTTTTCTGATGACGTCAAGTTACATTCACTTCAGCTGCTACCTATTTACCAAACAGGTAAGTAAGTATGGCATTGCTACAGTGCAGAGGTGAAAAGGCTCTGGGCTGGGAGGGGAGACCGATGTGGGTAATGCGTTAGGTTCTTCTACTGAGTCTCGCATTGACCCTGGACAAGTTCCTTAGCAAATAATGCTAAATAGTACTCCTGTGAGCACTTGAAAGAGAAATTGTGTCTGCTAGGAGAAGCCATGGAGAGGACATGACAGACAAAACGCATTTCCCTTTTCAAAATGGTTACTTGGCCCGAAAAGGGAAATTAGAGCCTTGTCCTAGCTGGGTTTTTTTACCTGGGTATGTGGCAAAGCTTCATATGATGGCCTTGTGAGCAAGGTGGAAAATGTTGACTGAATGGGAAATTCATTCAGAGTGGTGGTTTTCAACCTTGTTGCACATTGGGCTTACTCGGATGCTTAAAAATGCTGATGCCCAGGCTCTACATACTATGGTGCCTGGGCATCAGTAGTTTTTTAAAAGCTCCCCTGGAACCTAATGGGCAGCCAAGATTGAGAATTTGCCATTGGGTTTTGTACTTAGTCCTGGCCTGCCTACCATCTTTAGATGTTGCCTAGAGACAATATAAATATTATTCCAATTAAACATGTTTAATAAACCTCCCTTATTTTTTTCTTTCTTAGTGAACATTTATTGACTACCTACTATGTTGGGTATTGTGCTGAATACTAGGGAACCAATAACGAGCAAAAGTAGGCAAAGTACTTGCACTCGTGGAGCTTATTGTCTTGGGGGGGAGGAAGCAGACAGTAATCGAATAATCATTCAATTATTTTCAAGGAGTATACAATTACACACTGAAATGAGCACTCTGTGGGAAAAGAACCCTACCTTGAGAGCCTGTAACAAAGATATTAACCTCATTTAGGGGTCAAGAAAGGCTTCTTAGGAAAGAGGATCTGAAGAGTGAATCAGGACTGATTTGGAAACATGGTTGGTGCCGAGGAAGCAGCAAAGGCATTGTGGTAGAGGGAGAATTGTATATTTGAGGAACTGAGAGAAGCAAGACTGAGAGGTGGGGCAAGGCAGAGAGGGTCGTGAGACAACGCTGGAGACCAGAGAGGGCCTGGAGCCTTGTTAGAGGGACAGCTATCTAATGGTGTCTCCCTTTCTCTCTCTCTCTTTTTTTTTGCATTAGCAAGAAGCTGGACTAATACTGTAGAATTTCTCGTAATCTGAATTTTGCTGATTGAGTCCCCACAGTGTCATTTAACATGTTCCTGTATCCCCTGTATTTCCCTGGGATTTGGTGGTTTGATCTAAAGCTGTACTGTTCACTGTGGTAGCCATTAACCACCTGCTACTGTTCAGCACTTGAAATGTGACTAATCTAAATTGAAATACACTGTTAAATGTAAAAGTCACACCATATCTTGAAGAGTTAGTACAGAAATATATATATATATACATACATATATATGATATCTCAATTTTTTTGTTGACTGCTTGTTGAAATGGCAATAGGGATATATTGGGTTAATACAGTATACTATGAAAATTTTGCCTGTTTCTGTTTACTTTTTAAAATGTTATTACTAGAAAACTTTAAGTTACATATGTGGCTCGTGTTATATCTCTATTGACAATGCTGGTCTAGACTAAGTCTTGATTAGATGATGGTGGTGGTGATGATTATGAAGATGAAGATTTAGTAGCACAAGTAATGCTGACTTCTGTTAGAAGGTATATGGAATCTGGTTGACTCTGTGATGGTTATTACGTAGATCTGTTAATTTATTAGGGGTTGCAAAATGGTGATATTTTAATTACATCACTCCCTTTTCATATCTTCCTGGCATTCCTCTATAAATAACAGCTTTTCCATGGGGCACCTGGGTGGCTCAGTTGGTTAAGTGTCTACCTTCAGCTCAGGTCATGATCCCGGGGTCCTGGGATCGAGTCCTGCATCGGGCTCCCTGCTCAGCGGGGAGCCTGCTTCTTCCTCTCCCTCTGCCTGCCACTCTGCCTGCTTGTGCTCTCTATGTCAAATAAATAAATAAATAATCTTAAAAAAAATAAAGAACAGTTTTTTCTAAACAACACTTTGGTTATCCACACTGAGAGACTTTTTTGCTTAGACAAGTTAAGATATCTGTTTCCTTTACTGGTTTCATGGGTTCCCCCCCCCTTTTTTTCATGCAGGTTCCCTTACTGCTGGTAGAAAAAAATTGTCTCAGGAAAAAGAGTTGCTGAGTCTCTTCTGTTTTTTCTCATTGCCTCATGTGGGCTATCTGTACATGGTTGTCAAATCTGTTGAATTAATGTCAGTTTACCAGTATCCTGAGAAGTCTCAGCAGGCGGTGCTCACACCACAATTTTTACATGTCATCGCAAGGTATGTTACAGTGTTACTTGCTGGACTTTGAGTCACTTATTCTTCTACAAATCCTTGGGGTGCTTCTTAAATCTTTAAATGAGAATTGTGTGGGGGCGCCTGGGTGGCTCAGTTGGTTAAGTGTCTGCCTTCAGCTCAGGTCATGATCCCAGGGTCCTGGGATCCAGTATGGCATCGGGCTCCCTGCTCAGCAGGGAGTCTGCTTCTCCCTCTGCCTGTCGCTCCCCCTGCTTGTGCTCTCTCTCTCTCTGATAAACAAACAAACAAACAAACAAACAAATAAAATCTTTAAAAAAAAATCAGTGAGAATTGTGTGAACCAGTATATAGTATTGTAAATTAATGGTGTATATTTGTCTTTTGATGGCCCATACTTACCTTTTCAATGTCAACGATTTAGATTCTGGTTTTGCCTTTGTTTTATTTTCTTAGATTGGATAGGGGTCTTTGTGAGGAAAAATTTTCATGGCGAATTTTAATGAAAAGTCAGTGGGGCCAGTCAGGACATCTCTGGATTTCTTTTTAGATTTCCTAATTTTTTTCTGTGCTGTCCTATCCTTTCTATATGAGTTGAGTTATTTCATAATGGTTTAGAACTGTGAAGGAGCTAGAAAGACTACCCTCTGATTAGTACAAATGGGGAAATAATCCAGAGGTTGGCATTGGCAAGGTCATGTGCCTAATTGGTGGCAGATGCCTTTTGAAGTGCCCTACCCTAATATGCTGGCATGTAACCTGGGTTCCTGAGTAGGCTTTTAATCTCATTTCCTTTTATCTCAGCAGTAACTGATGCTTCTGGTTCCATTTCCTGTTTTTTTGAGCTTAGATTATGTGCAAGCCACTGCATTGGGCCCTCTGGCCAAGCAACCATGAATAAGGTACACCATCTGCTTTCTAAAGCAACTGCGTGAAAGAAGGCCAGAGACACATACATGGGGCACAAACACTAGGGGATTTGTGAAAAATATCTTCAGACTTTGTGAAAGTCTAGTGTGTAGGCACTTCAAGGAGGAAAATTACTTCTGGCTGAGTCATACAGGAAAGTTTTTTGTGCTTGAAGTGAGAAAAGCTAGTTGGAGTCTACAGATGTAGATTAGAAGAGAAGGGCATTGTAGATACGGGGAAGACTATAAACAAAGGCTATGTCTAGTTTTTTAGGAGCATCTAATAATTGCGTAGGACAGTGATTTTTAATTTTTTTTCAAATGAGTGACAGTATCAGAAGCTACAGTAGGTGCTGGAGTATATTCAGACAGCATAGAACTCACCTGAAGGTTCTGCTACTCACTCATAGTGTGGTTGCTGCCCTCTCCCCCCATTGTCTGGTGTAAGGAGAAATGCCGTTGAGTTTCCTAAGTGAACACTGTGGAAGTAGCTAGTCTCAATTTCCAACATGTTGCGCATAGTGATGTTCTTTAACTAGGAAGAAGCTGAAATGCAGAGAAGTGGTGCAAATAATGCTCAAGAGAGAGCTCAGGGCTTTGAAAAATTAAGGACTTCTTTAACGTTTTGATCAATAAAGTGATGTGATAAGAGCACTGCTTTAAGAAAATTAGTGGTGGCTGTTATGCAGGATGGATTGAACACAGGTAAATAAGCTACTGACATGGTTCAGGGAAGGATAAGCAGGAGCTGTAGCAGTGAGAGGACAAGGAAGAATAGATGGGAGAGGCTTCGGCAAGAAAATGACAAGACTTGGTGTCTGCTGGGATGGTGGGAATGCAGGAGGCATGAAAAACCTCGCCAGAGTGTTGAGGCTGCTCTTATGAAAGAGTGGAGGCAGGTGAAGTGTGGGGCAAAAAGGAAGTTTGGTTTAGGCATTTGAGTTTGAGGCGCTTAGAGAGTATCAAGGGGAAATGTTAAGTAGGCTTTTGGACACAGAACTGAAGATCAGAAAAGAAAGGAAAACATAGATGTTTTATTACCATAAAGAGCTGTCAAAGTAGGGAGCATGGCCCCCAGAGTGTGCAGCAGAGAAAAGTAGTTGGAAAACTAAACTCTGGTGAAGGTCATGTTTAGGAAGGGAGAGAAAGAACAGAAGGATTTTCAAGAATCGAAAGAACCTAGGGAACTACAGCATCTTAGAAACCAAGGAAAAGGGGCGCCTGGGTGTCTCAGTTGTTAAGCGTCTGCCTTTGGTTCAGGTCATGATCCCAGGGTCCTGGGATCGAGCCCCGCATCGGGCTCCCAGCTCAGTGGGGAGTGCTCCTCCCTCTCCCACTCCCCCTGCTTGTGTTCCTGCTCTCACTCTCTTTCTCTGTCAAATAAATAAATAAAGTCTTAAAAAAAAAAAAAGAAAAAGAAACAAAGGAAAAACTAGAGGGAGAAAGTATAAAATATTTCTTTTTTTTTTAAGATTTTATTTATTTATTTGACAGAGAGACACAGCGAGAGAGGGAACACAAGCAGGGGGAGTGGGAGAGGGAGAAGCAGGCTTCCTGCAAAGCAGGGAGCCCGACGCGGGGCTCGATCCCAGGACCCTGAGATCATGACCTGAGCCGAAGGCAGCCGCTTAACGACTGAGCCACCCAGGCTCCCCTAAATATTAATTTCTGTCCCAAAATATTGATGCGAAAGACTATTAATCTTTATCTGGTTGCATAAAGGACACAGAATTTAGTGTCTCTCTTAAATATAAGTCATGAATTAGTTTGGAATGTACAGTCCTGAAAACATAGTTATGGGAATTTGAAGGGACTTAAAATGTGTGGGTTTTGCCTGTCTCCAGATAAGAAATTATTGAAGTTTTTCTTAATATCAGCACCAAATTATATTCTGACATCATTAACTTGACTGTGGAAGCACTAGACGTTAGAATAGCAGTTGTTATATGTAAATTCAGGTTCTTAATAAGGATTCCTACCCCTATTTTTAAAATCCTATATTTGTTGAACTTTTTACATATTATTTTACCCAGTAAATACATGTTTTAGAAATATCTTGACCCATAAGTTTGTTTTGAAAAGTTTCTTGAAGCCTGGTATGTTTTTTAAAAAAAGCAATAGAAAAAATTTTTTAAAGAATCTAAGAACAATATAAAATCATGTAAAATGTCATCCTTATAGAAATACATAAATGGGAAAGCCCCCCCATAATCCTACTCCTCAGAGTCAACCATGTCAACAATTGGTGTATATTTGGGGCACCTGGGTGACTCATTCTGTTAAGGGTCTGCCTTCGGCTCAGGTCATGATCCCAGGGTCCTGGGATCCCAGCCCATCCTCGGGCTCCCAGCTCATCGGAGAGTCTGCGTCTCTCTCTCCCTCTGTCTGCCTCTCTCCCTGCTCATGCTCTCTCTCTCTAAAATAAATAAATAAAATCTTAAAAAAAATTGGTGTATATTCATCCAACTTTTTAAAAAAACAGTACATTTACTACTATGATTTGTTTTTCATAGAAGTGGATCATATGATGTCCACTGTTCAGCAACTTGCTGCTTCACTTGGCAGCATATCCTGGACATCTTTCCATGCCAACACATTTCAGTTCATTTTATTCTTTTCTTATACTACTGCTTAGTATTCCAGCAATAGCCAACAGCTGGATTACTATAGGTGGAAGGGATCCAGAGGACCACCTTTTTATCTCTGAAACCTAACAGTCATTTATCTTTATGGTCACAGCTACTCTCACCTGTCCTTCTGACCCCACCACAGGTGCTTTTTTGCTTCTCACTGTCTCGAAGTCCCTTCTATTCATTTTACTTCCTGGTGCTAACTCTATTCTAGATTTCTAAGTGGTGGTGCTGCTGTTCCAGCGATTATCACGACTCCAGAGGTCATTTGTGGAAATGGACTTGTGGAAATTGACAGAGATGGCAATGGGCTGAGGCTGCAGTGGAAGCCTCCCAAAACAGAGGGAGAATGCCCTGAGTGATACCTCTTACCCTACATTGTGCAAAATCTCCCAATTGTGAAAATGTCAGAATGCCTTCCTTATAAAGAAGTATTTCTCCTATTTTTAAAAAATATTTATTTATTTGAGAGAGAGAGAGCGAGCACGAGTGTGCATGCACAAGTGGGGGGAGGGGCGGAGGGAGAGGGAGAAGCAGACTCCCTGCTGAGCAGGGAGCCTGACGAGGGGGCTTGATTCCAGTGTCCTGAGAGCATGACCTGAGCTGAAGGCAGCTTCTTAACTGATTGAGCCACCCAGGTGCCCCAAAAACTATTTCTTCTATTATAAGATCAATGCTAGGTTTGCTTTATTTCAACATGGTTCATTTTTAATTCTCCTACTTTTTAATTTGTTTTTAAAAATTATTCCTGTGGGAAAAAAATAAAAATTATTTATTCCTGTGAATCCACTACAAGATGGGTTTTGTAGCAATTTCTAAGTTAACTGTTTTTAATGTCAGTATTGGAGTGTTGACTTATCCACTAGTCACCAGGCATCCATTGTGCACTGACTGTGGGGTCTCTGGGTCATTTTCCAGTGCAGAAGCAGCCTGGGGTTGTGTAAAGAGCTAGAGGAGTGTGAGGAGTAAGAAGACCTAGGATCTAATTTGGCTCCATCCTCCAGAGATGTCTTAGACCAGTCATAAGACTTCCATGCCCTCATCTTTAAAACAAGCTTCTGGAGTAGATAATTCTCAGGATTCCTTCAGATAGTCTATAATTTTCTGTTCTACCATTGGATATGTGTTTGCATAATCTAAGTCTGTTGTCCAGCATAATCTAGGCTCAATTACATCCTGAGATGAGTGGGATAGAGAGATAATAGGAAACTTAGGTTCTAATCTTGGCTTTGATAATCACCTCTTTGTACCTTGGACAGATCCTAGGAACATCATTTTGTCTGTGAGATACTGACCCAGATCCATGGTTCTTAACTAGAAGTGTACAGCACAGCCACACATGGAGCTTTGTAGAAATATACATGTCTAGATTCAGCTCTTAGAGATTATGATTCAGTATGGGTGAGGTGGGGACCAGGTGTATATTTTTACAAACATGCCACAGGGATTCTGAGGTGCTCTCTTTGTTAAGAAGCAGACTAACCATCAGCATTTGACAAATACTTGAGTCTTCCCTCCCCACCATTGCTGTTTGTCTCTGTGAAATCCTCCCAACTATGGGCATGTTGGTTATTGGCCTCTGCTTTGCTCAGTGGTATCTCTCCTCTTCCTTAGCAACAACCTACAATGTTTCACAGTGCGGTGCAGTGCAGCGGCAGCTCGTGAGGAGGACCCATACGTGGACACCACCCTGAAGGTTAGAACTGGTTTATGATGACAACAAAATCTTAAGATCAAAAGGATAGATGAATGCTTGCAGATTTGCTCTTGGGTCTAAGTTGGTGAACATTAAAGGTCTTAAGATCTTGTTTATCAAAATAGAACTTTTGGATGTAAAATAGTAAACATTTTGTGATTCATGGTTTAGATGACAATTTTTAAGATTACTTTGAAAACATTTCACTCAGAATTTAGGTGTAGAGCATAATTTTTAAAATTTGGTAAAGAATATGTGTAGTGTAGGGGCGCCTGGGTGGCTCAGTCAGTTAAGCGTCTGCCTTCAGCTCAGGTCATGATCCTGGGGTCCTGGGATCGAGCCCTGCATCGGGCTTCCTGCTCAGTGGGGAGTCTGCTTCTCCCTCTCCCTCTAACCCTCCCTCCTACTGGTGCTCTTGCTCCCTCTGATGAATAAATAAAAAATCTTAAAAAAAAGAATATGTGTAGTGGAACTTCAGAGAGAGTACTTTACAATTATAGTATACTACAATTTTATTCTTTTTTAATGGAAACACTGGTGACACTTGTATATAACTATTAACAAAGCCATACAGAAATCGGTGTGTTCAAGAACACAAGTGCATGAAAATGATTTATTTATATTTTTTTTGTTTTGTTTTATCAGATATGTCTATAATATATTTCTGTAGTCTTAATCTAAGAGTTAATGGATGAGCTAGGTTATTAACCTCATTTTGAGTGAGAAGTAATATGCTTATTCTCTGAAAAGCTCTTGACCACAAAATAACCATAGGCAGTTTTATGATGAAATTCTGTATTTTCTGATCTTGAATTTCTGTTCTCAGAAATATACCGATTCTTTGTGTGATATTCATCATATGCTATTCTACTTCTCAGGTATAAACTACTTGAATGGATGTTTGTTATAAAGTTACATGCTGCAGGAAACTCCCAAATTATAATGGCCTATATTTTTTTTTTGTAAAGATTTTGTTTATTTATTTGAGAGACAGTGAGTGAGAGAGAGAGACAGAGAGAGAGCACATGGTTGGGGCAGAGGCAGAGAGAGGGAGAAGTGGGGCTCGATCCTAGGGCCCTGGGATCATGACCTGAGCCAAAGGCAGACACTTAACTGACTGAGCCACCCAGGCGCCCCATGATGGCCTATATTTTATAAGTTAGTTTATGTCTGTCTGGCACCTGGAACACCTTTTCCTGGAAAAGTAAGTGTTCACTACTGATGGTTATGTTAATAAGCCAGCACTTTGTAGTGCTTAATGTGTCTGAAGTCCTCTTCCACTATCACCATCACCCAAGTTGTGACATGTGATAGTGTTTTCCGTGATCTGAGTTCTCAGTAACTCTTTCATGCAATGGCCTGCCTGTAGCTTTCTGTTGCTGACCAGGCATACTGCCTACCTTCAACCTCTTAAGAAACCCAACTTACAGCTTCCCCATGCCTTTCTATCTGTGTTTAAGATACACACATAGCCTTTTTTTTTTTTTTAAGATTTTATTTATTTGACAGAGAGAGACATAGTGAGAAAGGGAACACAAGCAGGGGAAGTGGGAGAGGGAGAAGCAGGCTTCCCTTGGAGCAGGGAGCCTGATGCGGGGCTCGATCCCAGGACCCTGGGATCATGACCTGAGCCGAAGGCAGACGCTTAATGACTGAGCCACCTAGGCACCCCCACACATAGACTTTTCAAGAGCGTATTTTAGAAATAAAGGTTATTTCCCTAGTAAAAATGGGAAGCCAACAGATTCTTTGTCCCTCTCTCCTTCTCCCCGCACCTTGCTTTGCTTTTTTGTTTTCTGTTTTTCAAACCTCAGAAAGACATAGGCTTACATAGGTGGTGATGCTGGAGTGAGGGGTACATAATAGATTGAGGTAGGTTCAATCTGCATTTGAAATTAAATCATATTGTAGGTCTTCTCAGAGTCTCCTAAAACCAGAGGGAAGGAACAAGGAAGAGAGGAAGGGAGATAAGAAGAGAGATTGGCAGCTAGCTGGTGGGGGATGCTGCCCTTGAGGCCAGTCCTCTTGAAGGTGGCAAAGGAAAGGACAGTGATGATCACACTTCATGGCCCCCCTTCCCTGGGACTCTACCATTCTGAAATCCTAGATACAACCTGAACCAGCACACGTTTAGCTCTCTTGCCAACTCAGACTTTGGGAGCCATGCCGTCTGAGAAAGATTTCACAACCTCAGAATGTGGTCCAAAATGTACATCTTACCTCCCTTTCCTCTGAGATTCTGTCTCCTCAGCACTAGCTAAGGCCATCTTATCTATTCTTAGGAATGAAAAAATAGATGGAGATGTTGCCCCAATCGCTTTGTACAAAAGGACAGTGAAGATGACCTCAGAACCCAAATAGTGTTAATGGAAGAGAGGCCTGACAGCATCATTTTGTGAGCTCTCAGGAACAGCTCTTCTCTTACCTTATCCATTCTACTTGATTAGTGCTCCCTTACAGGGACAGGAGCCTGGCTCCTGGGCCAGGATTTCCTGCCCTTTACCTGACACACCCAGCCAGTCATCCATTCCAGGCAATGTTTCCACCTAAGGAGCTTACAGTCGGGCCATCTGAACATGCAAGCATTTCTCTTCCCTGTACACCCATCCACTAAGAAACCATTTATGTTCTCTCTGTGCCATAGAATGACCTTTTATAGTGTCTGATTTTTCCTAGAAACCACATTGGGCCATATCTCTGAGCCAGCCCACTGTTAGTGGGGATTTCTCTAGGTGCAGGTTACCAGCCCACAGGTGTGCTCCAAGAGCCACTCTCCAAGCCACACAGGAGTTCCCACAGCTGCAAGGGGCTCAAGAGCACCTGCTATCTGCATTCACTCAGTCAGCAAATACTGAGTAGCTCTTCGGCAGGCACATATGAAACAGGTAGTTGGTTACATAACTTTAGACAGGAAAACCTCCTGCTCTAATAAGGTTAGGAATTCAGATTGTTTTTTTGGAGGGGGTTGGACAGGGGAGCAGGACAAATAAACACACTGGTTTTTGAAGGTTAAAGTTCATGTACATTTATTCCTTGGTTAAATTTGTGATTTTTCCTTTACTAGGCTTGCCCACCTGTCAGTATGGATGTCTGTGCTTTAAGAATACAGCTTTTCATAGGCTTGAAAGCCATTTGTCACTTTAAAAACCACCTGATACTTTTGACCAAGGCAGACCCTGAGGCCATTCCAGAGAGAAGAGAATCACCCAAGAGGCTTCTGTAAGCATCCCCACACTTCCACACATTCCTGCCAACGTTTCTGGAAAGAACTGTTACTGGTATATTTTGTGTGTGTCCTAGTTTATCTTTTTAAAAATCAAAACAAAACTTTGAATGATTAGATGGTTTGTCTATGTTTTTTTTTTTTTTCCAGAGAAGGAAAAGAAGGTTCTAGTGGTCTCCATACTATCCTTTATATTAACCTTGGAATTTTAGAAGAAAATGGATTATAAAGTAGTTCCAATAAAAATATGTGTAATTTTAGATAAGTTAAAGGACATGCTCTTCAGTGTAATTAATAGGAAAGACAGAGCCTCTAATGCTAATCCAAACTACAAGGCTCTTTACCACTTTTTTCTTGTTTTCTTTGACCTTTCAGTGGTTACGTTTTTATCCAAGTATTATTTTCTGGTATTTCAATTCAAAAGAAATTAATAATGCATTTCTTACCTTGAAGTACATTCATGACATATAGATATGTGCTGATCGATCTTAAAATAAAATTGCATTTTGATAACACTGATCTCTGGGTGACTCTCTTGGATTTTCTGCTTTTACATTGTTTGGGATAGAGCACTTAGTTCCAGACTAGTTATGCTTCTGTTCAACATTTTCTGTTCTGTGAACTTATGAGTAGGAATTAAATGATAATGATGATGATGATTTGTATGTTCTCCTATGAATAATTTAATCAGGAAAGAAATCCGTCTGCGGAAGAGAAGCAGATAGTGTACAGATGGTCCCATACTTATGTTAGTTTGACTTACAAGTTTTCGATTTTACAGCGGTGTTGAAGGCAGTACCCATTCACTAGAAACTGTACTTCGGATTTTGAATTTGTCATACCACATGTGGTATGGTATTTTTTGGTGATGCTACGCAGTGGCAGCCACGTGATCGTGAGGGTGAACAACCAATACATTTACATCCATACTGTACCCATACAATCATTCTGTTTTTCACTCTGTACAGTAGTCAATAGATTACATCAGATATTCAACACTTTATTATAAAATAGGCTTTGTGTTAGATGATTGCTACTGTAAGTGTTCTGAGCAAGTTTAAGGTAGGCTAGGCTAAGCTCTGATGTATGGGAGGTTAGGTGTATCTGATTTATGGTATTTTCAATTTTTCGTGGGTTTATTGGGAGGTAGCCTCATCGTAAGTCAAGGAAGAGCTGTATTTCTAGTCAAACTGGTTTTTATTTTTAACATAAGTTTTTGCTTTTTTAAATTTTTTGTGCCTGTGCTTTGTCCCACCAACAGGAATAATCAGAGGTTGATTTGGGTAACTGGTCGCTCAGAGCGTGCACGGGATGGCCTGAGACTGACTGATTCTAAAAGCTTTCTGGCAAGAGGAAGGACAATTTGCAATCTTGCAAATTATTGATTTTATTGTAATTGGACATTTTAAAAAATTCTGTTTTTAAGTGATTTAAAAAAAATCCTAACCTATTTGAAAGTTTCTTTGGTCAGAGGTCTACATTTTAAAAAGATTGTATACTAAAGAAAATGCATCACATATTGAAAGCAAGAGATAAGAGAGTGCTTGAACCCATGGTTATATGTGTCTTGCGTGTTTTCCCAGCAGCCCTGAGTGTTTTGCCTCGTGTTCTGTTGCAGCTTCTGCTTAGATTGGTGACATAGGCGTGCTGGACTCCTGCAGGCCATGTGCAAGAGAGATACTGGGCACAGACACTCTCACAGCCAAGTCTTTCTTCCTTTTGAGGGGTCTTGCCTGTTCTTTGAGCATTTTGCCCATTTAAGAATTCTTGTGGAATAAATTGGAAGCAATTGGTTTGTCAGTACATGAGAGTTGTCAAATTTTAAATGCTGTAGGCCTATGTAGCATTGTGAACTAATGTTGTATAAAAATCCACTGTACAGATAATCACTGAAGAAAATACTAAATGAAAATGATTGCATAAATCTTTTTAGGTATCCAATATTTACCATTTAAGATCGCCATTTATTAATTCTGTGTCTTATCCTGTAATCCTTATCTTTTGTTTTGCTTTTAGTTCTAGAAAAGGAACCAGTGGTAAGCTTAAAACACCTCCTGTAGCTGAGGCTGGGTGGAATTTGTATATTGTGGATACGATCTCACCAGTGCAACTGTACAAAGAAATGGTACTCCTTTCAGACTTCCAATTCTTATTTGTAGAAATTTAGAGTCAAAGCAATGCCCCCATATTGATTCTAATGATCACACATTCAGAGTGCCACAGCCAACCAACTTTCAAGCTCCGTCTGGCAGTAGAGTGTGGATCTTTAGTCACCTTCTCGTTTTCAGAGCTCCTGACATTTGAGGAGCCAGTAGAAATTCCCTTCACTAAAATAAGACTTCCTTATTCATACCCACCCTCCAAAGAGGATCGATTAACCAGTCTAAGCATAAATAGCCTTTGACCTTTACTTTGAACCCTAGCAAAGAGAACCAGGAAATGGAGCTGAAAGAAATCTTAGATCATTTATCCCCATCTCACTCTATGAAATATTAGCAGATTGTCTTAGGGCCTGCGCACCTGCAGCATTGTCTGTTGGGTAGTGGCCCAGAGGGGGGCACCCTTCTTCCTTTTTTAAGAGTGACAGCTGCCAACTCATTACTTGAAATTTTTTTAACTCTTTATTTTGAAATAATTTAAAACTTACAGAGAAGTTGCAAGGATAAGAATAGTAGAAATAAAACCCTGTATATTCTCCACACAGATTCACCCATAGTCAACATTTTACCCCTTTTGCTTCTCTCTTTCTCTCTCTTTTTTGTGCTTTTGCACTTTCTAAACACACACACACACACACTACCCCCCCCCCCCCCCCCCCCCCCCCCCGCCGCCCCAGCCCACACACCACGATCCATTGGAAGGTAATTTGCATGCATCAGAGCCTAATGCCCCTAAATACTTCACTGTTTGTTTCCTAAGAATCCAGGTACTTGTTTGCATCACTGAAGTACCAACAAATGCTTAATAAATTTAACAGGACACATATTCCAATGTTGCAGTTGACTCAATTATGACCTACTAGTATCTCCCTTCTCCAGTACAGGGGCCAGTCTAACATCAGGTAGGGCATTTAATTATGACGTCTCTTTGGCCTCCTTTAATCCAGAATAACTTCATAGCCTTTATTTTTAATGGCATAGACATTTTTGAAAATAAATTTTTGCCCCTCCACCTTTTTAAATTTTTTATTATTTATTTTCTTCTTGTTTAGATTCAGGTTATGTATGCTCATTCTCAGCCAGAACATTACATAGGTGACGTTGTGTCTTTCTCACGGTGTTACATCAGGAGGCACATGATATCTGTGCCCCTCATTGGTGATGTTAATTTTGATCATCAGGTCAAGGTTTTGCCTGATTTGTCCCTGGCATTTTAATGCTGATATTTATATTGGCTTTGCCCTGTCCTTTTAATCTTGCTTAATTGAAAGTCTTAAAACTTCATGTAGATGATTCGCTTGCTGGAATCTGAAAATACTGATGGACTCAGATTAGCTAGTGATAATTTTAATAAGCCCACTGTGGGTTATAGAAATAGGCCAAGTAGAACCTAAATTTACTGACTGAAACTACAATAAAGGAAGCATACTCAGTCTGAATTTAGGATTTAAATCACAGAACTGAAAAAAGTTAACTGTTTCACATATGTTTATGTGTTTATGTTTTTTTACTTCCCTTTAGCCTTATTGAACTATGAACAAATTATTGCTAAGTTAGCAGTGTTATTAGTATTACAGTGTTATTTGTACCTTCTCTAGTGATTAGCACTGTTTAACAAGGGAATGTTTACAGTCATGTATGTATTAAAGCTGGCTCATGGATTGTGGGGGAAAAAACACCTCAGCTAGGCCCTATCAGAATGATAAATAACCACTTTTTAGTTTTTTAGGATTTAATGTGTATAAATATGAACTCTACTAACAAAATATATAGATATTCTTAAGAACCAGAAAACTTTTGGGTGTGTTTCTGCAGCAATATTAGCTGCTGGCCTTTTTTGTTTCAGGTAGACTACAGTAATACCTACAAGACCACAAAAACCCAGAGCTGCATCCACCTTCTTAGTGAGGCTCATCTGTTAGTGAGGGCTGCCTTGATGGATGCCAGTCAGTTGGAACCTGGAGAAAAAACAGAGCTTTTGGAAGCATTTAAAGAAAGCTGTGGGCATCTTGGAGACTGCTACAGCAGGTTGGTGATGCTTCTTGGGAACTTGTTAGAGAAGCCATCTTGAGCTTTGGGTGTAGGTACTAGCTTTTCCATCTCTGGTAGCTACCTGATGAATGGGGGAATGAATGAGGGGAGGAGATTCATTTATTCATTTATTCCGTCAGCATTTGTTGAGCACATACTGTGTGCTAGGTACTGTGCTAAGCTTAGAGTCACAAAGATGAACATGACGGTTTCCTACCTTCAAAAGGAGTTACAATTTATTAGATGAACAATGAATCTCCAGTTCATGAGTCTCCCTCCACTTAATTTAGGAATTAAATTTCTTTTAGGCCTTCTAGGCCTGCTCATGACCATGAAAATCCCAGAGACAGCCGTTATTACTAGTTTATTGCCTGTTCGCCTTCAGAGAGAGATACCATTTGGATGGTCTGTGACTTTAATCTTTTTTTTAATTTTTTTTTAAGATTTTTATTTATTTATTTGAGAGAGAGAATGAGATAGAGAGAGAGAGCATGAGATGGGGGAGGGTCAGAGGGAGAAGCAGACTCCCCACTGAGCAGGGAGCCCGATGCGGGACTCGATCCTGGGACTCCAGGATCATGACCTGAGCCGAAGGCAGTCGCCTAACCGACTGAGCCACCCAGGCGCCCCTGTGACTTTAATCTTAGTAGTCAGTGCTTTTATGATTTCGGAAAAGGACTGGGATGAATAATGGTTTTACTTTTTGAGATGGTCTTTATAGATTTTTTTATGTATGATTATTTCAAAGGCTTACTCGACCCACGGGAATGATTATAAATTAATAAAACAGACTTTTCGTGCCTATTAACACCATTATTTTAGAGCCACATTAAAAATCCTAAAATTCACTTAATGAATTATTTTTCTATTTTTATTATGAGCAGACAAAAAGAAACTGTATTAATTAGAATGACTTTACAGAATAAAACTTAGAACTTGTTCCAACTACTAATGGAAGTAGGAGTATTTTGAGATTTATGTCATCCGGAAAGCATTATCTGTTTTATTATCAAATGCGTTAGGCATCCAGGCTTAAAAATGACAAATTTGAGGTTTTTTTACTTCCTTCCCTTTAGGCTTGACACCCAGCATTCCCACCTCGCCTTGCCATACTATAAAATGTCTGGTTTGTCTATGGCTGAAGTTCTAAGCCGAGCGGACTGGGTACTAGAGGATGGATCGCAGAAATACGAGAGGGGATTAATCTTTTACATTAATCATTCACTTTATGAAAACCTGGATGAAGAATTAAGTGAAGTTAATATAGTTTTCTATTTACTTATATCAACCTTCTTAACTTTTCATGTTAGCAATTTATGTCAGGTTCCAAATATTTTTCTTTGGAATTATTTTCTTCTTTTCCTAAAAAGGTAATGAATGTGTCCTTTTCTTCATTAATAATCCTAGAATTGTAGCTGGGAAAATAACTTATAATCACCTTCTCCTACTTTCTCATTATATAGATAGAAGAATGTGGTCCATTGTGGTTGAGTGACCTGCCCAGTGTGACGGGAGCATATCTTTAGAAGAATGACATACACACACCCCAAGGCCTTCCCTTCCTTCTCATCCGCAGCCCTTTGCACAACCCTAGTTCTCCCAAATTCCAAGTGTCCAAAGCTTCACTTACGAAGTCCTGACCCAGCGACCTTGAGACATTGCTAAGGCTTATTTTTAGCCCCTCACGTATTTTTAAAAAGAATTGAGTGCGAATATGCAAAGCTGGACATTGGGAGACCAAATGTTTTAAGATTTTGAGAGAAAAGAAATTTTTTTGTATACATTACCTCATTAAGTATATTTTGTAGTAAGCTGTAATTTTTAAATGGACTTTTAAGTGTAATTTAATCAAATCTTTAATTTCTTCTTTTGAACTCTTGTTAAAATGAGAAATGCTAGCCGCAACTCGGTACATATTTTCACTGCTTTTTCTTCATTATACCTCAGCAAAGAGATCACTTCAGGTCATCTCAGGTCTCCCACATTATCACCGTGAACTCTGTCTTTTTTAATCTAAACATCATACTTATAATTTTGTCTCATTTGGAAGTTTATATCTTTTATATCTCTTTTTTTCGTTTTTGCTGATTTTGTTGCATTCTGTTGGTTAACTGACCTTTTATTTCTTATTCATGTTCACTAAAGGAATTAGCAGCAAAAGTGGTCCGGATGTTCCACGTGGCTGAGCCAAAGCAACTGCCCCATATTCTCTGTAGTCCTTCTATGAAGAATATTAATCCTTTAACTGCCATGAGCTATCTAAGCAAGCTGGATACTTCTGGGTTTTCATCGATCTTAGTGACATTGACCAAAGCAGCAATGGCTCTGAAAATGGGGGATCTTGACATGCACAGAAATGAAATGAAAAGCCATCCAGAGGTACAGTGCCCTGCCTGGTATTAGCAGCAGGCTGAAACAGGACCTGGTAGTCCTACGTTGTTTAGCTTTCTTCTGGCTTCTGTCTAGTTCATTTCTTCTTAGTCATAAAGGAAAATAGACTTAATGTTAGAAAAGAAGTGACCCAAAGTGGGAGTGTTTGGGCTTTGGATCTGGTAAATGAAAAAAAAGTAAGAATGATCAGTGGTAGCAATGGGTATCCAAAGACCTCTCAACTTTGCGTCAGGTACTTTTAGAGCACAGTACTTGGTACTAAAGAATATACAGGCTCTATCCTGAGCTGACAGGCTGATCTAGCATGAGGGATATGGTATGTCCACTGAAACAGAACAGAGTGATGTGTGTTCAAGTACAGCAAGTGGGATGTTAACCATGAGCCTTAGGAGTCTAGTAGTGGAGGAAATGGCCTGCACTTGGGAAAATCACAAATTACGTTATGGAAGATTAGCGTTTGAACGATATATCAAAGAGAAGGTAGCTTTTCTTTCGAAGAGAGCCCATTTAGAGTCATGAGCCAAAGATGTTAATCATTAGGGGAGGAAATTAAAAGATAATGTTAATTGAGCACCTATTATGTCCCAGGTCTATTCTAAGCCCCTTGTACATGCTATCTTATTTAATTCTTGCAACAATGCTATAAGTTAGATGCTTTTATTATACCTGTTATAAAGATGAGGGAACTAAGACAAAGAGAGGATAAATGAGTTGTCCAAGATCACTTAGCTGGTGAGTGTTCGAGCCAGGGTTTGGAGCAGGCAATATGGCTTCTCATCCTGTGCTCCTATTCTGTTGTTTTGTTGCCTGTGGACAAATGCCCACAGTATGATGTTAGTTTCTAAAACAAGAGAGCAGAAGTGTTTTATCATTGTACAAATGACATGTCTTGTTAGATGAAGAGAGCGAGTCAACATTGAGGTCTCCTTTGCTTTGAAGAGTACAGTTTTAGAAAGATGAATTTTCTTAAGATATATTCTTTTTATATTCTTAAGGTATGTTATTTTTAAACAAGTAGACTTAAATATAAAGCTCTCTACAAAAATAGGATATCCTGATGCTTAATTAAATATTAATAACTTCTTCAAAGACAGTTAACAATGATGTTCCACTTAGAGTGAGAACTTGTAGTTAAAGAAAAATTGAGATTGAGTATTAATAGTTTACCCATGAACCTTGAATGCACTGGCATGTATTTTCAAGATGAATGCAATGTATATTTTGAGCCTAAATTTCTTGTTTATCTGAAGATGAAGTTGGTATGTGGCTTCATTCTGGAACCTCGACTATTGATTCAATGGAGAAAGGGACAGATTGTTCCAACTGAGCTTGCAGCACACTTGAAGGACACTCAGCCTGGTCTGCTTGTGGCTTCAGTTCTGGGCTTACAGAAGAACAACAAAATTGGAATTGAAGAAGCAGATTCCTTCTTTAAGGTTTGTCACTTTCAAAATGCAATGGTTCTGGGTAGGCTGATAAAATTGGTTGGGGGGACAGGAAGCAGAATAAGAGACTGAGTTTTCATTTGTTTATTGAAAAAAAAGACACGTAACAAATATATAAAAGTACACATTAAAAGGATGTATCTAGAAAAATTCCATTCATGCAACCTAGAATCTGTTTTCTGTTAAAATACTTCAATCTACTTTGCCATGGCACGAATGCTAATGATAAATTATTAAATGCATGGCCCACATGATGGAGTGCTACTCAGACTAGCTATAACTTGATCAATAATATATTTATCTGGGATATGGGGGCTTGTTTCACTGTTTTCAAGGTGCTTTGTGGTAAGGACGAAGATATCCCTCAGCTCCTGGTAGACCTTTGGGAAGCTCAGCTCGTAGCAGGTCTTCCAGATGTGGTTCTCCAGGAACTCTTTTTTAAGCTCACATCTCAGTACATCTGGAGATTATCCAAGAGGCAGCCCCCTGACACCATACCATTGCGAACATCAGAGGATCTGGTGAGAGAATAGAATAATATATTAAATTAAACTTGTATACTACACATTATAGTAGTGTACCTTCTGATTTTTAATGGCTTAGAATCAAACCTAATTTATATTACCAGATATCTTATAAGCAGGAATGAAAAATACACTTAAATCTTGTCCATGAGTAAAGTTTCTTGCATTTTAAATAATTTTGTTTTGTAATGACTGCCCCCTACTGCTCCTATATTACTTACTTGCAGTGGTACCTCAGTAGACAAAGCATAGAGGAGGGGCTTTCCCTCCAAACATGTCTGCACTCCCTCAGGGGATAGTTCCAAAGTAGAACACAAGAAAAGACACATTTGCAGACTCCCTGGTGGGAGAGGAACTGCAGAAGGCTTGTGGGAGGGAGACTTCCGAACTGGGCTCATTTCCTGTCAGCTGCACACACAAGAGCTATTCTGTAGCCTTTGCAGGAGCCTTAACAACTCTGCTTTACCACTTCCTGTCCCCTTCTCCCTCTGGCCCTTAATGCCTGTCGTGGATGCCACGCCTAATGTGGGTTCACTGGAAAAGTTGCCGACTTCATGAATAAGGGGGCTTTATGGGAATTGTCTTGAGAACTTATGGAAGAGATTTTGCCTAACAAGGAAAGTAGTAGAAATAAAAATTCCAATGTTACTGTTAACTTTTTTTGAGTAAAATTAGCTTAAAAGCAGTGTTGCTTTTTTTGCTAGAAAGTGTTTCTTAGGAATATTTTAAAATTTAAAATGTAAGGAACTATTGGGGCACTTGGGTGGCTCAGTCGGTTAAACATCTGACTTCGGCTCAGGTCATGATCTCAGGGTCCTGGGATTGAGCCCCCCTGTTGGGCTCTGTGCTCAGCAGGGAGTCTGGAGTCAGTTGGCTTGTCTCTCTCCCTCTGGGCTCCCCCCTTCACTCCTGCATGTGCTCTCTCTCTGTCTCTCAAATAAATAAAACCTTAAAAAAATAAATTAAAAATTTAAAATATATATAAGGAAATATTTAGTGCATTTTCCCCCCATTTTTGGTGCAGTTTTATTCAGTGAGAAGCAGCAAGGCTGAGACTTTTCCAGGGGCATATATTCTAAAAGACTTCTGTTCCCGTTCCCAGGAAAGTGTGTACCTAACTCTGTGACAAGGCAGAAGATTAGCAGTTGCTTGTTCTTTTTGGAATGGATGAAGAGAATCTTGTTGTATTTTGTTTATGATAAATTTCTTTTACATTTCAGATTAATGCCTGTAGTCATTATGGCTTAATCTATCCATGGGTTAATGTCTTAATATCATCCGATTCCTTAGCAGATAAAAGTTATACAGAAGACCTTTCAAAATTACAGGTAAATAAAAATGCCTCCCTTTTTTTATGAATATACATATTACAATATAGTATCAGATTTAAATTTGGTAAAACCTCAGGTGTCCTGTTAATCTAGAGTGTATACTTTTTGGGGGGTGGGTAAAATCCACAGTTAGGCATACTCTGGAGGACATTCCTGCCTCTGCCTGAAACTACAGAGAGGCAGGCGGCTCCCGCTCCGGCTCCCGAAGGCTGGTTTTGTTGCCTGCACAGAGTGAGTTCACCAGGTCACGTGACTGACTTGCTTCATTTTCAGGATGTGCTTGGAAACACTTTGTGAAATGGAAGTATGGCAAATGCTTAGCGGTGTTTTTATTGATGGCATTTATTTTTTGTTTAGTGTTCACTCATGTTAGGCCTCTAGCCCAAGGCCACCACTATCTGTCTTATAGAAAGTAGGTTAAAATAGCCAGTTTATCTGGCTCCTCAGAAGGAGTTTTAAAAAAAAAGTAAGTATGATCAGAAAATGTAGATCATCCTGCAAGAATTCTGACAATGACAGTGTTTTTGCCACAAATGAGAAGTAAAGTCTGTCTTTGACTTGGGGGACCAATCTGGGCTAGATGTGGATATGATTTTATTTCAGGTAGTCCTGTGGCCCAAGGACTGAATATAAACCCCACATCTGCTTTGTTTGGTCTGCCCAATATAGTGCCAACATATACAAATTGAAATTTCAAATGAAGAATTCTGAGCTTCAAGTTTTTTCTTGAAAAATTCAGCAGAACTGGTAACGCTGGGCTTTCACTGCCTCTGAGGCCTTAGAGTTGGAGTGAACTAGTGATTCCCTCCTTGGTCAGTGCTCATGTTGTCCTGTCTGCCACAGTCCGTATCTCTGGGTCTGCCTGGTCCGGATATGGTGTCTGCTGTCCATTTTCCTTATACCCAGCCGCCTTCATTCATTTCCATAATCTGTTTTGGCCTGTTTAGGCTTTTGAATTTGCAACCCCTGATTTACCCTGGGAACTGGTATAAGTGTGGTTACTGCTTGTAGAAACCAAAATGCCAAGTTGGGGATGGGGTCAAGGAGGAAAGCTCAAAAGCCCATATTGCTTAGACTCAGGCTTTAGACAGGCCTGAGTTGTAAATCCAGAGATGGAGTTACTTACATTCATGAAAAATTGCTGGAGAAAATTCTTGTTGGTTCATATCTCTAGTACCCTTATGATACAGAGGCTCCTTAGGGCCTAGCCTCAGATACATTAATTCAACAAATATTCCTCAAGCAGGTGCTGTAAATTTGGTCTGTGGCATTGGATAAGCCAGGCAGGGCCTTGCCCTCCCAGGATATATGTATTACATATTTAAAATCACAATTGTAACTAGTGCTGTTAGTCTTACCGGATAGAGCTTCACAGAGTTTTTATAATCACTGCTTGAAAAAGTGTAATTGAGTGATCTTTTAAAATTCATTTTAAAGTATTTAAAAAGAATACTTTCTTCTGGGAATCTTTGCTGTTTAAGGATAGACATATAGTCAACCTATACTTTTAAAAATTGTTTTCCTAACAATGACCCATGGAACACTCCACCAAAAACTAATGATGTAATGTATGGAGATTAACATAACATAATAAAAAAAATAAAAATTCAAAAAAATTATTTTCCTAATTGTATCTTTTTCTAGATTATCTGTGGGTTGAGTCATTAAATAAAAAAAAACCATCAAGAAACAAAAAGATCTCATTTGTTTTCACCTAGAGGAATAGGAGTTTCAGAATCACCTGGAGAACTTCTCCAAAACTGTATGATTCCCCCATGCCCCGCATCCCACCATCACCACACAGATTTGATATGAGTGTCTGTCTCTTATCCTCAGTCACCGTTATAGTATATTTGTGCAAAACTTAAAACAGTCTATAAATCATCCAATGTCAAAAAGCTGCTATTTGGAAAAGCACAGTAACTAGTAAATGCCCTGCCTTTCGCCATGATCATCATGGTCCCCTCCCCCACTTCCTTGCCAACCCCACTCCTTAGATTGTGTGGGTGGAGAGGATAGAGTCTGTGGGTTCCAGCCATGCAGAGCTGCCTGGGAATGAGGGGTCACAGGAGAAAATAAATGTCCATGTGTTGGGTGTGGAGAGGAGCCCCCTTCCAATTCTGAAAACAAAGGGCGCACTCTGCTAAGGAGCATTAAGAGTAATTTAAAGAGTAACCTTTGGGCCATTTTAAATTCAGTGATATATGTGTTGTCTGGCGTTTCTTATTTTTACACTTGTTGATGATATGGATAAAACTAAGTACAAGTTCATGGGTAATCAATTTGTACCAAACTTTGAGTAGTTTCATTTAACCATGGTTTGGGTTACCCATGCCTTGATCCTTCCTACCCTGCCCATTACCCAAATTAATCAAAAGTTGAATATAGAAATAATCTGTGTTTTCTTTCATGTGGGCGATCCTACAAGTGGTAGATTTTCATGTTTGCTCTCTTGTTGTCAGGAAATTATTCCGATGAAGGTGACAATTAAACTTGCAGGAAGGAAAGGGACCAACCTTATACTCCAAGCCATTCCTTGGTAGATATTTGGAATAAAATAATCAAGCTGACTGTAAATGAATAGGTCACGTTCCATATCCTCTTGTGCGTCTGAGAAGATGCTGTAGTAAAAAGGATACAGGAAGAAGAAAAATCAGGAAATAACCATCTCATCTTTATCCAGAAGAAAGGGAAAGCAGAGATTTTTTTTTTTTTTTGGTGGAATGTATTTATAGTTTAAATGTTTAAAAGTAAAACACTGGTAAAGTTCTGAATACTCGAATACTACCTACTCTATGTCTTTCAGTTTGTGGCAAATAGTATTGATACAAATTATTAGTTTATTAACAATTGCTTTAGTTTTCTTAAATGTTAAATTTTATTTTTGGTTATATATGTAGTGCATGCTTATTATAGAACATTTGGAAGATACAGGAAAGTGTGAAAAAATAAAAAGTGGGCTTTGTCCTTCCATCCAATGAGCTGATCTCTGTTTCAAATTTCAAAGGCATTTCATATATGTACATGTATGTACCTGTGTAGATTTTACAAAATTGATCCTGCTCTGAATATAATTTTGTATTGACATTTTTTACTCATCATTCTGTTATGAGCATTTGCTCATTAACTAGCCTCTGAAAATAATTTTGATGGCTGTATAATATTCCACCATATGAATGTACCATAATTTACTTATCCCTTATTTAACATAGATCCTAGTTGTTCAATATCACAATTACTCCTGAAATGAAATGGACATAAATCTTTGACCACAATGTTGATTATTTCCTTAGGATAGAGTCCTAAAACATTCCCATTAGTTTTAACTTGCCGTCTATTCAAAGCAACTAAAATATGTTAGTTTAGAAATGATTGCTTTCTATTAAACGGATTTTTTTTCTTTAAACTAGAGGTGGTTTCAAGATTATTTACTACTTCAGTCTACTTAGACTTATAAATATTGTATGCATGTGCTCTAAAACCTCATTCATCTTTTTGTTTCCTTTCCTTTTTTTTTTTTTTGGCAAGTGCTGTTTGGTCTTTTTTAAAAAAATTGTATTCTATATATTGTGCTTTAGTTTTTTGGGTGCCTCATTCCATAACATTTCACTTTTCTGTTCATAGTCTCTTATATGTGGTCCTTCATTTGACATAGCTTCCATTATTCCATTCCTGGAGCCACTCTCAGAAGACACTATCGCTGGCCTCAGTGTCCATGTTCTGTGTCAAACACGTTTGAAAGAGTATGAACAGTGTATAGACACACTGTTAGAAAGATGCCCAGAGGCGATCATTCCATATGCTAATCACGAGCTGAAAGAAGAGAATCGGGTACGCTTTTTCAGCTTATGTCTTTTAGGCTTGATTAGTGATAATCAGATTTGATAATCTTGTTGCCTTATCTGCAAAACAGGGACAAATTATATCAGTCCAACCTCACAGGTCTGGATGGGTCAAAGGAGCAAATATGTTTAATATGTTACGTGCTTTGTGTACTGTTAGAGGCTATTAAAATATGTGGTGATTGTATGTTATCTTCATTAAAAACCTCATTTGGAAATAAAGCAGGATATTACCTGAAGATTTGGGAAACAATGTATGATGGGAAAATATTTTCTGGGCTATATGGTCTTTAGCTTAGAAATTAGAAGAGTTTTAAACTTTAGTACTCCTTCCTCCCTCCCACCTTCCCTCCTTTCCTTCCTTCCTTCTTGTTACCTAAGACGATAACAGGACATGTCTGTGTTTCTTCTTGAGAATAACAAAGTACATATGCACAGCATACATATCATTAGATTTTCAAGTTACAAACCTGATTTATGGTATAGTTTAAACAGAAGACTGGCTGCTGATATAACTTCTGTTGTAACACAAAGTTTGGCACCTTAACCAACATGATGTATTTTTGCCCTGTGCTTTCCTGCACAATCTTACTCTCGTTGGAAATTTGAATGTAAAATGCATCAAACTTAAACTGTATTCATTTTTTCCTAAGATAGACTTTGTGGTGGAAAAAACTGCTGCCTGAACTTTGTCACAGAATAAAATGTGGTGGAGAGAAAGGTCAGCTTTACCTGTCATCATTAAAAGGTAAAATGATCATTTTTGCTTGATTATAAATTTGAGTCCTAATTTTCGTTTCCATAATTTGCTAAAGGCTTGCTTTCTCTGTTTTTTTCACGAGGTTCTCAAATGAGGTGAAGAGGGTCTTAGGAGAATCATCTTAAGGGTTTATTTCTGCATTGATATGCTCCCCCATCACGTTGGATATTCATTTATCTCTTCTAGCCATGGAGCTGATTCTTTTAAGTCAATCTTTTCAAACACTTAGCAAATGATCATAGTCATAGAAACTCACAACCTCAGTATTTTAAAAACTTGAATAGCCATTAATACAATTGCATTTTTTATTGATGATCTGAGTGCTTAATTTATTTCATATAGAAAATTAAGATTATTATTATTATTAATTATAATTGTAAGCCAGTATTGAGGAATAACAAGGTTCTCAAGGATTTAAAAGTTGACTATCGGGGCGCCTGGGTGGCTCAGATGGTTAAGCGTCTGCCTTCGGCTCAGGTCATGATCCCAGGGTCCTGGGATCGAGTCCCGCATCGGGCTCCCTGCTAGGCGGGGAGCCTGCTTCTCCCTCTGCCTCTGCCTCTCTCTCTCTCACTGACTCTCATGAATAAATAAATAAAACATTAAAAAAAAAGAAATAAAAGTTGACTATAAATTATGCAGTGTTTTGCAGCATAGGTATTGTTTGAATTTGCATAATTTGTAGTCACTTATAATTTGGTTATCAATTTCTCTGGTCTTATGTGTTAATATTACTAGATAATTGTTGGCCTGATGACAAAGGGTGTGGTTATATTGATCTCATTGTGCATAAAAGATTAGAAATTGACAGTGCTGGAATTGTGTTTTCCAGCTGACGTGATTGGTTTTTAAAGTGTTAGGCGGAGCCAGTGGCCATAGGAGGGTGTTTTTCTGAAGATGCCCATTTAAGTAAAGTTGCATGCTTGTGACTAGGAAGATGTTGTGATTTGATACTAACTTTTTGTCCTACTCATCTCCCTGAGTGAATTTTTGCTTTTCAGAAGGTGGAAATGTCAGATATTTGATGGCCTTGTCCCCCTTGTGTCACGTTTGTCACATAACTTGGAGCCGATTATTTGTGTGGGTGGATCACTTTGCAGAGCAGCTATCCCACATCTTCATACCGCAGTAGCACCATTATCTCAGTCAAAGCACTTCATCCTTTCCTCATCCATATCCATGTCCTCTCTACCCGTAACCTCCCCATAATCATTCCTCCAAATGTTCCATTTTTCTGTATAATCAAACTGTCAGTGCATGTGCATAGACATGTGCATGTATGTATGTATGTGTGTGATGTGTGTGGCTCATTAGACTAAGTGCTGGGTGAGATTTATGTTTACTAGACTCCAAAACCTCAAGAGCTGGTATAGCGTTTTACTCATTTTTCCTGTAGTGCCCTCCTTACCAGCAATATGCCTGTCCATAGGAAGCATTCTCTATTTATTGATTTGAAGGGAAGACCACCTGAATAATTTCAGGTCCATTTTCAAGGGAGTTGTAGTGCACTGAGAGGAGACCAGGACTAGAGTGTGGAGACCTGGTTACGGAGTGACCAGAAGCAGGTCAATGTTTTAGTATCCTGAGACTAATGAGAAGTTCAGAATTGACTCTAGAATAAACGTTAGGCAAAATCTCAAGATGGCAAGATTGGAGATGGAGGTCGGGAATCTATGTAATATGCTTAGGAACTTGGATTTCTTATCTAATACAGCATTTCTCAGCCTTGGCACTATTTACATTTTGGACTGATAATTCTTTTGTGTATATGCATTTTAGGATGTTTAGCAGCATTCCTTGCCGCTAAATACCAGCAGCACTCCCCCAGTTATGATGAACAAAAATGTCTCCAGACATTTCCAGATGTCCCTGGGGAGCAAAATCATGCTGGTTGAGAACCATTGCACGAATGCAGAGCCATTGAAACTGGGGCTGGTGATTGGCTTGTTTCCAAGAAATATTTGTTACTGTTTTTGTGGTAATGGACTGTGTTTATTATTAAAAATGTTACCATAGTAAATTACAAAAATGAAGTTTAGAAAGTCATTTAAAATCCCATCAGCCAGACATAACTATTTTTATCATCTGATGAATATTTTCTAGACACACTGGAGGACTTAAAGTCCTCCACAGATTTAAGATATTGACCTTATTCTTGGAGTTATAACCTATATTAGCCCCTCACTGGTTGGCAGAAGAGGAGAATGGGGCAGTGGCAAGATTTTTGTTGCCTCTATAACCTCAATACTGGCCCCCAACTCAGTTTTTTTAAACCTATGATACTATTTATAGGCTCCACATTTAGGCTAAAAATAAACTGGTTTGATAGGGAAGTATTGATAATTCATGTTTTTCATATGGGTTTTGCAAACTAATTAGTAGTCATTGTTTATTGTTTCTATTAATATTTTAGATATGCATCATTGTATTTTATTTAATTCTCAAAGGACTCTAGAAGCTAGCAGTTGGTACCCCCTCATTATAGATGAAGAAACTGGGACTCTTAAGTGACTTTCTTAAAGTCACAGAATCTGTCTGACTCCAGAGTTCGGGATCTTTCTCATACATCACTGCTGACCCATTCATTAACTTTTTTAGCAACATGGGCATGTTTTGTGTAAGGGATGCTTTTGGTTGCTGAATATTAGAGAGATGACTTTGGATGCATGCACACACATCTGAGCAAGAGATTTTATATTTTAGTCACTCTGCAGATAGAGTAAGTGGTGGGCAGGTGAGGATCACACAGGGAATGGCGCTGGTGTTTATTGCCAACACTGTTCTTAAGTGTCACCCCCTCTCTTCCCAGCAGAGGGCAGCATGTATGTATCAAGAAGCAATGGAATCATAAAATTATAAAAATGTTTCCTAAATCCCTTAGTAATTGAAGATGTACACGAGAGTACCTTATTTTACAGTTTGGAAAAAAATGGTCATGAAATCTCATAATAGAGAGGAACTGATTTAGGAAAATGTCATCCATCAATTAGTAGTATTTCCTGTCCTAGCAATCTTTATAAATTAGCTGCATTATAGCCCTAACATTAAAGACAGTATCCAAATTATTTTAGTTTTCTTTAGAGGCTAATAAAAGCATATTGAAAAATAATGCAATGAAGCAGTAAATCAAAATTGCATGGATCTAATATAAAATAAAATTCAGAGCATTTTAGAAGGAATGAATAAGAAGTTGTTAAAACGGTAAGTATTCTGTGGATTTAAAAGACCGATCTTTTTTTTCTTCCTGTTGTAGTTATCACATTTTGTTGCCTGACCTCGCTTCTAATTGGTTGAGTGGTAAGAAAATTGAATGAAAGACAGGCTTGCAGTTCTAACTCAGATACTGTCCTACCAACAGAAACGTTGTCAGTTGTTGCTGTGGAGCTAGAACTGAGGGATTTCCTGAATGTCCTCCCAGAAGATGGCACTGCAGCATTTTTCTTGCCATATCTTCTTTATTGCAGTCGAAAGAAATCATTGACTTGAAGGTATCATTTGAAAAATACCACAATGCCATAGAAGACTGACTTTTAAAAACAACTGAATGTCTAGTAAAAATGTAAATAAAGGATTTTCATATCGAATATGTACATTTGTTGCAGATGCTTTCAGGCTGCTTATGTTACCATGAAGTGGTATTATTAGTTTGGTACTTTATGACCTGCATCCAGAATGTAAAAAAAAAAAAAGCTACAAAACTTAAGAATTTTCTCAAAGAAGGCATATGTTTTTAGAAGTAGACACTGACTTTTATTCCAAGGAACATCAAATCAGTGTTGTTAGAGAAGTGACAATCTTTTTCACCCCAGAAACACAAAGAAACATTTGGTGGGTATGTTTGAAAGAATGTCTCTCCAAGTGGTCCCAAATTTAGTCTTCTTGATTTTTCCAGATTTCTCAATTAGGTCTCTTCTTCTCCTCCTCCTCCTTCTTCTTGAATAGTTTTCTTTGAGAAGGAGGTTAATGTTTTCCCACAGTAAGATTTCAAATTTTACTTTTTTGTTACTTTTAAAACTCATGCTATGGTTTCTCCCTGAATCAATGAAGTATAAATTTACAAAGTTAGTTGTCTTCTTGTCTGGCCATTAACATAATTTGTTGGATGCATGTTTTTCAGCCAAAGCCTTGTTTCTGTTTTTTTTATTGGTGTACTTTTGCTCTTTTAGCTAGAGTATATGTGAAAATAAAGAAATATATCATTGTATTCACAGTTGTGTCTTCTTTTTCAGCCTCTTATTAAGCAATTTTGAGTCCAAGTTCAGCTCATTGATAGTGTGCTTTGACTTTACTTAAGACTGGCCAAAAGCTACTCACCCAGCATCTGCCACAACTGTATTTTGAAACTTTTCTCCTGATGTTAGTGTTCATCTTTACCAGGATTTAATCTGTAGAATTGTTTGTCAATTTTGCCTTTCTTCAGTTCCAGATTATTCTCCTTTTGACCATCTCTTCAAGGGTTCACAAAATCCAGATAGATTGGCATTATTTTAATTTTTTATTTTACCTTGTTTTATTTCATTTTAAAAATTTATTTAAAAAATTTAATTTTTAATTTATTATTATTTTAAAATAATTTTTTACTTTCTCTACACCTATGCCCTCATGTCCACTGATTCATTAAGAATGATATCAGCACCACGTTAAAGGGATTGATGGGAAGCCAATGGTTGAAAACATTTCAATGAATCTTAATAGCAATCTTTGAAGAACCATCAAGGACAACATCTGGTCACAGATTTTGGGGGTGGGGGTGGAGAATACAGTTTTATAAAGTCCTGGTGGTGATATGAAGGACTTATGGAAATCAATAATAATTGTATTAGAGTCAGTCATGTGTCTGTTGATCTTTTCATATGAAACAAAGTAACAGTTTCCGCCACAAATACATGAAAGTGTATGTTTTCAGTCTTTTTTTTTATGCTTATAGCCATTCCAAAGTAAACTTTTTCTTCATCACTTTGACGTACATTGTTATGAATCATTGTTTTTTTCTTTTTTTTTTCCACTTATCACCAATTTATTTCTTTCAGCCAGACTTGGTCTCTATAGAAAAAGAAATTTTAAGACCATTACAAACAATACAGTGGTCCCCCCTTATCCATGGCTTCAGTTACCCATGGTCAGTGTGGTCCAGGGGCAGATGTTCCTCAGAAGATCAGTAGTAGCTTAACGCTATGTCACAATGCCTACGTCATTCACTTCACTTCATCTTATCATGTCGGCATTTTATCATCTCACACCATAACAAGAACAAGAAGGATCACTATATCCTGAAGGATCAGGATGAGATGTTTTGAGAGAGAGAGAGAGAGAGAGAGACCACATTCTTGTAACTTTTATTACAGTATATTATTAAAATTATTCTGTTTTGTTATTGTTGTTAATCTTTTACTGTGCCTATTTTATAAATGAGACTTTATCATAGGTATGTATATACAGGAAAAAAATAGTATATATAGGGTTCAGCACTATCCACGGTTTCAAGCATCCACTGGGGATCTTGGAACATATCCCCTATGGATAAGTGGGGTGACTACTCTATATGTCATACGGTTTAAATGTATTCTCATTTTTTAATGTTAGTTGTTTTGTTTAGTTATTCTTAATTCATTTCTATTTTTCCATTTTTTTGTTTTCTTTTTTATTTAAAATCAGTTCATTAACATATAGTGTTTTATGAGTCTCAGAGGTAGAGTTTAGTGATTCATCAGTTGCATATAACACCCAGTGCTCATTACATCAAGTGTCCTCCTTAATGCCCATCACCCAGTTACCACTTACCCCACCCTCCTCTCCTTCAGCCACCCTGTTTGTTTCCTATAGTTAAGAGTCTCTTATGGTTTGTCTCCTCTGATTTCATCCCATTTTATTTTTCCTTCCCTTCCCCATGTTCATCTGTTTTGTTTCTTAAATTCCACACGAGTGAAATCATATGATATCTGTCTTTCTCTGACTAACTTACCTCGCTTAGCATAACACCCCCTAGTTCCATCCACATCATTGCTATTGGCAAGATTTCATTCTTTTTTGATGGCTCAGCAATATTCCATTTTATATATATATATATATATCACATCTTCTTTATCCATTTATCTGTCGATGGACACCTGGCAGCAATGTCCATTTTTTTATATATTTAAAAACATGCCTCATTCTAGTACTGCTTTATTTAAAGAAAATTTACTTTGCTCCCTGCAAGATCTTCATTAATTATAAAGGGGAAAATAGTAACTTTATAGTAAAGAAACCTGGCAGAAATCTTAATCAAACTCTCAAAGTTAACATAATCAGTAAGGGAAAAAAAACATCTTGTGCCTCTTGACATGTGTACAGAGAAAAACGATATCACTTCTGTAAGAATCTTGCCAAAAAATGTATAACCTGAATCTAATTATGAGGAAACATTAGAGAAACCCAAATTGAAGGACATTATACAAGGTGGCTGCCCTGTATTCTTTAAAAATGTCAAAGTTGGGGCACCTGGGTGGCTCAGTCCATTGAGCGACCAGCTCTTGATTTTGGCTCAGGTCATGATCTCAGGGTCATGAGATCAAGCCCTGTGTCGGTCTCCATGCTCAGTGGGGAGCCTGTTTGAGAGTCTCTCTCTCCTTCTCCCTCTGACTCTCCTCCCGCCCCCAGCTCTCTCTTTCTCAAATAAATAAGTAAATCTTGAAAAAAAGAAGTCAAAGTTATAAAAGACAAAGAAACTGTCCCAGACTAAGAAGACAGGCCAACTGAACACAATGTATGAGTGGGATTTTCTTTTTCTGTGAAGAATGTGATTAGAATAATTTGTGAAATTTGAAAATGGTCTGTAGTATTGAATCATCTTTAATTTCCTAATTTTGATAGGTGTATTATGTTTCTATATAACAATATCCTTATTTTTAGGAAATATATATTTACTATATATGTTTATTTAACTTTATATATAACTTTATATATTTACTATTGTATGTGTGTTAGAGAGGGAAGAGGGTCGGGGGCAGTTAGAACAGGAAGCAAATATGGCTATGTAAAATGTTAACAGTTGGAGAATTTGGGTGAAGGGTATATGGGAATTTTTTGTACTATTCTCACAACTTTTCTGTAAGTCTGAAATTATGTCCAAAAAAGTTTAAAAATTCCTTTTCATTGAATTAACAGGTGGTTAGATATTTACCAAGCAGAGTGTTGGATTGGATTGGGGTAGTTACTAGAAATACAGAATATACAGTCCCTCCCTGAAAGTACCTGAAAGCTAGGCAAGCTTTTTTTCCTCCCGACCCCTCTAAAATGTTATCTGACTGGAGTAGAAATGTCACAGTCTAAAAAAAAGTACCTTTTATATTTATCAGAGAAGGTCTTTATTATGCTTCCTCTGGTAGGGGAAATGAAGCATTACATTAAGTATATCAGGATATCTACAGTTATTTTCTAGTGATTTTTTTCATTGTGGTGGAAATTGCCTGTGTCCTGGTGCATAATATTGAACAATTTTACTCTAACCTCCTGTGCTCCCTTTTCTGTGTCAGAGTAGACAGAAAATTTTCTAAGATTCAGAATTAATGTAGACTTACCCAAAGCTTTATCAAACTTTCATTTAAAGATAATTCAGACTGGTAAACACGGCTCCCCATCTTTCTGTTTATAGTTCAAGCTATCTTTTTTGTTCATTACCCCTTCTTGCGGTCTATACAATACCTTTTCCTTTTGTAGAAGCCGATTTCTCTTTCATCTTTTCCCCAATGTGTGTTTTCCCTTCCCATTTGCGATTTGTTCTACAGTTTTCTCTAAGGCTTTAAAAACAATCTCCCTTCTCTTAACCAAGCAATCCTCTCCCTCTCCTTCCAGGCTAATTCCCCAGGAGGAATCTTGACAGTGTCTGGGTGTGCACGATTAGCCTGCAGCCGCATCCTCTGCACATGAGGCATTTGCACACGTGTATTTCCAGAATGCCTGCCTCAGTGCTCCCTCAGAGCAGGATCCATCGTTTTGTGTGGTGGCTTACGTGTGTGCTGATGTTCTTTAAACACTGCAGTTTTCTTTCTCATGTTTGACTCTTCACCTTGTTCCGTAGTGACTGGCATTGAACCCAGCGATTTATTTACCTCTGCCAGTCTTTGGCGTTCCGGTACTCCCAGTCCCACTCTTTGTAATAAAGGCTTTAAGAGAACCGTTTTTCACGTTACGAGGTGTCTGTGTCTGTGTCCGTGTAAAACCCAGGAGCAGAAATGAAAACTTGTCGTTTGCACTCACAGTTGATCTTTGAGTGACTTTTAATTTTTGAGAGATTTATTTCTATATTTTCTTCCACTTACATGTCCTCTTTAATGCCCGTTTTAAAGAGGAAACACATTTAAAACAAAGGCATTGTTTTCTCTACATCATTTCCCCCTGTTGGATTGGCCATCGCCAATTCCAGCAATTCTGAACTCAGAAGACCCAAGAAACACCAAAGCCTGCAACCACACAGCAGGATTTCCCTCTGTAGAACACATTTTGTGACTATTTACCCAGGAAAGGGCTGTTCCTTCTCCAGTGTTTCCTGTGCTTCAGGGGGGAGTATTATTGCTGGGCTGGGGGAAACACGGAATTTAGATTCTATTT